TGGGGGGGGGGGGGGTAAACAGCTGTGCATATCTCTCTATCTGTGTTAGAGGGTGAACAACTTATGGATAAGCTGTATACAGGGTAAAACGGATTTATTTGGGGTTTGGACACCATTGGGAGTGGAGCATCTGAGTGTTAAAGTCAGGAACACTTCTTAAGTTGCTTTCAGTTAAGTCTGCAGCTTTGGGGCACGTGGTTCAGACCCTGGGTCGGTACTGGAGCAGACTGGTGTGTCCAGCTCAACAAGACACGGTGCGGAGTCCCAAGCTGGCAGGGAAAGCAGGGGCAGAAGTAGTCTTGGCACATCAGTTGGCAGCACCAAGGGGGTTTCTGTGATCCAACCCGTCACATGAGGTTTAAGCACGGGAAAAAGGTGAAATGAATTTTTGCTCATGCAATCAGATATTAATATATATGAAAATTCTCTGAGAGCTGTATCAAATATTCAATTTCAATTAAAATAGCATGTGGTAGTAAAGATGCTGTTAATTAGCTATTGAAACTATATAATGGGAAGTAAACTTGCCCTTTAAGTGCTCTTATGGAAACCCCTTTTCCTGGTTTATAAACTTCCCTTTATCAGTATAAAATTAGTTCAGTTTACAACTTGTAGGTAAAGGGAAGATAGATAAAGTTTGCTACAGAAAAATGATAATGTTTAAACATTACCTATGGCAGGGTGGAATTGGCTGGCTTCCCAGTAGATGTGTGGGTTTTATCAGAGTTTCTGTGGAGGGTGTGTGTGTGTGTGTGTGTGTGTGTGTGACTTGCTGTGTGAGGGAACACGGACTCACTTGGAAACTTTGCAGTGCAGACAAGGTAAGGTGGTAGCATGTAATGGACTGATACCCCACCCCCATTCTGATTTTTTTTTTTTGAGGCACTTAGCACTTCTTGGCTTTGGTACAGATGATAAGAATAGGCTTAGTCAAAATTGGTCCATAACGTGCATATATAGTCAGCCAACATGTCATTAATGTCTCTTGCTCATCTGCTGTAGGGTTTCTTCAGGTGGTCAGAATCTGCAGGTTTTTATGAAAACTCTGACAAAATATCACTTTATATAAATATGGTGAGGGACAATCTTAATTTTCAGGGGGTTATTTTGTTGCCTGTATCATAAGAGCACCCCAACCAAGATTGAGTTTTCATTGTGCTAGATATTATACAAACCTATGCAAATGTTCTCTGCTTCAAAGAACTTAAAATCTAAATAGACATGACAGAGACAAGGGGGTGGGAGAAATAGTTACGTTGCAGAAGAATCAGGATGGTGGCTGACAAACCTCTGGTTAGTTCAGTGTGGTTTTTCCCCCTCATGTAGCTTTTGTCAGTTTTGTGATTTGTTTTGTGTGTGTGTGTGTGTGTGGGGGGTACTTTAAAGAGTCTAGGAAATGGGATGGAGAGGGAAGGCTGGAGGGGAAGAATTAATAGGAGCAAAAGCGAAGGGGAAAATGATAGCAGCAGAGAGGATGGGAACAATGGTGATGAGTGTGGAGGGCAAGGAGAGTCAGGCTGGGCACATAGGTCCTGTGTGGGAGAGGGTGGGAGGAAATCGGTGATGACGTGAGTCTAGTCGGGAAGTCAGGCCATGTCTACACTACAGGAACTAAACCAGGATAGTTACAGCACCGTAGCTATGCTTGCATAACCCTGTAGTGTACATGCAGTCTACATTGACAGAAGAGGGTTTTACTGCAGTGTAGGGATACTACCTCCCTGAGCTATGGTACCCATGTCGACAGAAGCATTCTTCCATCCACCTATCTGCATCTACACTGGGAGTTAGGTTGGTATTGCTACGGCACTTGGGTGTGTTTGCCTTTCCCCCCACAATATTTCAAAATTTTCAATGCAGATCAGGCCTCAGTCTGATATTACCAACATCCAAGAGGTTATAGAGGTACAAGGGAAGCCCTAGCTGGACTGCTTCTCTCTCAGCCTGTGATTTCGCTGTTTCTAATTTTATTGTTAGAGGGTAGCTCTCAGTGCTGGTTCCACCCTTAAAGTGTAGGTGCTTTTGCTTTTAACTTCCCCATGGATTTAAAATTGCTCAATCTTTTAAGGTGTGGATTTAATTATTAACTACTTTATTCAAATTCAGTGGGGTAACTTAAGAGTAGAATGGCATAATTTTTTCTAAATTTGTTTTTAATTTGTAAGGCACAATATGCTTTCTTTGAGTTTTTTATTTAACTAAGCAGGTTGTCCTTTTTTTAGCCTGCTACAGAGAGGAGATCCAAGCCAGCACTATGTTTGCCAATATTATTGATGATTAACTCTGGTTCAGTGCTTAACCTCAGGAATGACACTTGAAATTCTCTAGTAAGCAATTCATTTAGAAACAAAACCTTCTTCCACTGAAGTTGATAATTGTGCCATTGGCTTCAGGGGAAGCATTGTGTAGCGTTCTGGTAAAGTTGGGGAGTGGGGAGCGTGCTGTCTTCAGAGGACTGAAACTTTGGTTCCTGTTGTGCCATGTCAAATTACATGAGTAAGCCTACCCGTTCACAAACATTGTCTTCTGCATTTTGCCTCAGTGAATCCCATTCTCAGTTGTCTCTGTTGGGGGAGCGACTTTCATAAGCCGGGACTTCTTGGTGGATGGTGTAGGTGAGATGGGGTATGGTATGAGTGTGTGATTTGCAAAATTCTATAAATTTTTCCCCAACTTGTCAGGCAGTAAATTTTCTTTAAATTACAGTGGTTTACAGTGAAATAGCATGGTTTCTTTACATTTCTTTCTTGTAATGTGTAAAATCCATCTAACCTCATTTACATTTGGTAAAGGATTAAAATGTACAGTAAATCAATGCAGATATACATCTTAAGATCATATTGGACGTTATTCCATTGGTAGTAACCGGACATAAAAATTCACACTGTTTGTATCCGTAGATGTTTCTTTGAACTCTTCAACCAGAAATAGTCTGTCTAAAATGGAATATTTTGTAAACGTCTTTACCAAAGGAGAGAGAAGTAAAAATGGAATACAAAAATCTTATTGGCTTGATAGAACTAAAAAGCTGAAGTTTGGTTTGATAAAATACCTTGTTTTTGTTGTTGTTCCGCAGGACCCTGCTTACTGGGTGAACATTCACCACCTCGAGTATACAGATGGGGGGATCCTGGACCCAGATGATGTGCTGGCAGATGTTGTGGAGGACAAAGATAAGGTAGATAAAAAGAGAGAGGTGGTGGTGGTGGCTGCAGAGTTTGAATTACAATATTGTACTTTCCTGTGTACCTTCAATAACCTTATGTACTTGCTTGGTACTTGAGTACCAAGAGTGTGGTGCAGTATTCAGTACCCTTAAATCAAATACATCTGCCTAGACATGTTGCAGCTATGTTCTTCATTCAGCACTACTGCAAAAGCAAAATGTATGACCAAAACAGCTGATATATTCACATAAGATTAGTATTTGATTTAAAACTTAATTCTTTAATTCAAGACATTTTATAGTTCTCTTGTAGTTTTATGAAACGGGGGTGGTTTTTGATGAGGAGAGGATGTGGAGTTGGATGGGATATTAATTTTATCCCAGTAATATTTCTAACTTTTTTTTTTTTAAATATCTCTAGAGGAAAGTTTGAGAACCACTCATGATAAATCATGGATTAATGTGAAGAACTGCAGCAATTCTATTTTGTAATTCACATAGAATCAATGTGCTTCAGAACGGAACTGAAAGTCTGGGCAGGTCACACCCACTCCAGTACACTCGAGTGTGTGTGTGTGTGTGTTATATATATTCCCAAAGGCTATGGGTGTCCAGCTTGGGAATTCCTGATCCAAGGTATCCTATATGTACATAGAAATAGCTCACCTAAAAATACCCAGTATTGCTGCTTAATTACCCTGGCAGAATAGTGTAGTTTAAGTGAATTCATCAATAAATTACTTGCAGTATGTAGTCTGAAGAGTGTAGTTCAGCTCTGATTAACATTTCATTATTGTATTTGAATTATAATCTAATCCATAAGAGTATTCATGCCAAGAAAAATATATTAAAGCAGATGTCCAAAAAACTGGTTTCTGTTTATATATTTTTGAAAATGTGAAATTTGTTTTCCTATCTTGCAGAAAAAGCCTTTTCAATGTAGGACTCTTCGTCTCAGAGAGTAATCTTTTTCCTGACATGAGTAGCACCGATAATTACAGATTGATTCATAGCTTGCTAAACTAATTTATATCCTGGAGATGTGTGTGAGAGAGAAAAAAATGAGATTAGTGCTTATTGAAAGAAAAGTGCTTGACTGTTAGAGTTGACTTGCTGCTTGGAATAATTCCGACTTCAAAACAGTAGGTTGCTGTGTAACACTACAAAACATACTGTAATGTAGGATGACTAAAACTACATAATTTTAAAGCTCAGTGTATACAGAGTGGCAGCAGCAAGGTCTTTGAAGGATTTCATGTCACATTAGCTGTATTTCACTACATTAACAAATGCAAGAAAAAACAGTTCCACTGTGTGTAATTAAAGTTGACATTTCTAATACATTTTATAATCTAGCAGTGGTCTCCCTTGAATTGTACATTGTGGTGAGGTCTCATGAGGTTGCCACTGAGATCATGATGGGCCATCTTACTATGAAACCTTGTTCCAAAAAAAAAAAAAACCCAACAAAAAACAATAGCTCATATTGGAAAGAGTTTCATTTAAATATAATGGTAGGGGTTTGGATAACTCGGGAAATGGTTATGGAATTTAGACCTTTCACCTCTGTCACTTTGTTCTTTCCTAAAAAGAACAAGGAATACTTGTGGCACTTTAGAGACTAACATTTATTTGGGCATAAGCTTTCGTGGGCTAAAAGCCACTGCAGTTTTAGCCCACGAAAGCTTATGCCCAAATACATTTGTTAGGCCTGGTCTACACTAACCCCCCAATTCGAACTAAGGTACGCAACTTCAGCTACGTGAATAACGTAGCTGAAGTCGAAGTACCTTAGTTCGAACTTACCACGGGTCCAGACGCGGCAGGCAGGCTCCCCCGTCGACTCCGCGTACTCCTCTCGCCGAGCAGGATTACCAGAGTCGATGGTGAGCACTTCTGGGTTCGATTTATCGAGTCCAGACAAGACGTGATAAATCGAACCCAGAAGTTCGATTGCCTGCCGCCGAACCAGTGCGTAAGTATAGACAAGCCCTAAGTCTCTAAGGTGCCACGAGTACTCCTTGTTCTTTTTGCTGATACAGACTAACATGGCTACCGCTCTGAAACCTGTCATCTTTGTTCTTTCTGTATCTGTGGCAGAAATAAGATTCAGAACAGAAAGTATTCCAGGACTTTTTAAAACTTTTCAAAGAATGACGGGAGAATTATTGTATCTTACGCAAATGCTTGGAAACAGTTATTTGAGCATATACTTGTCCTGGTTTTATGCACACACAAATACAAAGAGCAATGCAGCACCTAAATCCTTCAGTTTGTCTTTTGGACTAATCATTGGTAACTGTTTTAAATCTGATATTGCTCAGAAGCAACCGGCAGTGCTATTGAGCCCTGCTTCACAAAATTCCCAGGAACATTTTTGTATCAAACCAGGAACAACAGCTGGATGATGGTGGCATACATAAATTGCCAAGGAAAAACACAGCAATAATCTGAAGCACAAGGCCACTGGAATCCTTTATACTTGGAGAAACAGAACCTCTCTACCACAGCTTACATGGATGCCAGGCAAAACAAGAGTAAAGGTCAAATGGCTTAATTTTCAAATACTACCAGCAGGGAAATGGCGAGCTAAAATACGACATGTTTGATCTTTTGTCTCTTTGTGGCTTTCTTGCTCATCTAGACTCATTTGTAACTTAAAACAGCAGGCTGGTATTTTGCTCTCAATTAATGGAATACATGAACATAAAAGATGGACATCTTCACTTTTTCCATATATGTACTGGTATATACATTCTCAGAAATAACTTGAAAAATAAGACTAGATAAAGTGTGTGTAATTCTAATTACAGTGTATTGGCTTCACAGACTAATATTAACTAGGTTCTTAAAGATGGAAACTGCAAAACCAGGAAGCATCCAGTTTTTCAAAAGCTAGTTTTTTATCAGTACCCCCTTATTCACCTTAAACGTCATAACATTTGAGTGTTACATGGATGCTCCTGTTAACTAACATCCTATTTCAAAATCCCAGAAATTTCCTACAGTTGGAGCACACAAGGATTTGTGGGGTGGGGGGTCTTAGTCACCTAGTACGTAGACTGAGGTCTGTCCAAACGTCTGTCACAGATTCAGTTTCTTATGTCAGGTTTCAGAGTAGCAGCCGTGTTAGTCTGTATCCGCAACAAGAAGAACAGGAGTACTTGTGGCACCTTAGAGACTAACAAATTTATTAGAGCATAAGCTGTGTATATATATGTCCTCAATATATGTTCCATTCTATATGCATCCGAAGAAGTGGGCTGTAGTCCACGAAAGCTTATGTTCTAATAAATTTGTTAGTCTCTAAGGTGCCACAAGTACTCCTGTAGTTTCTTATGTGAGGCCTTAAGGGATTAAACCTCAGTTCTTTGTTGAGTAACGGTTCCTTTGTATCCCACTGTGGGTTTATGCGTATGCCCAATGCAAGAGAATTTGAAAGTAGTGTTTGTTGGTCCATGCCTTTGCCCTGGCTCTCCTCATACTTCTGGCTGAGGGGATAAAGGGTAGGGTGAATTGACCATTTCTCCAGTTACTTCTCACCACCGCATGGTCCAGGTTGGAACCGCCAATGTCAGTAGCTCTGTCTTCATCCTACAAAATAAGGTTTAGATTTTTGCTTTGTAAATAGTTTTAACAGCTTATATAGTTATTATAGTTGAGTGTTTGGATTGTCTCTTTGGCAGACACCCTCCACTCCATCTCCCTGTATCACGTTCAGGTACCCGACTATGCCCAGGACTCCAAGCTTCAAACTCTGTTTCTTGCTGACGATCCTTCTTGGTCAGTGATGACCATCAGTGCTGCCTGTACTGGCTTGGGGAAGCCCACATAGCGATGAGATGCAGTATCTGCTGATCGTTCTCCAGCTGTACCTGAGAAGACTGAGAACTTTGTCTCTGGAAACACATCATGGAGAAGGCCATGAAGTCTCAATCAGACCCTGGCCAGGGAACCCTCCCTCTACATCTGCCTGATTCAGCAAGGAGAATGCCTCCTGCTGCGAAGTCGAACTCTGGTGTGGGAGTGTCTACCCTCAGAGGCCCACCAGTAGAATTTATTTTCTCACCCTGCTCCCAACTCTACTGCTGGTCCAGGCCACTTTTGAAAGGGCTAGACCGCAACATCCCCAGTCTACTCCTATGGATAAAGAGGGCAAATGTCTGGACCTGTTTGGGAGAAAGTTTTGTCATTTAGCCTCCAGTTTAGGGTAGTCAATTACGACTTCCTGAACTATGCCAAGTTTGCAAAGATTACTGACGGGCATCTGCAACAGGACAGAGCTCCTTTCTAAGCTTTGATAGATGAAGGCAGGGCCGGCTCTAGGATTTTTGCTGCCCCAAGCAAAAACAATTTTGGCCGCCCCCCTTCCCCCCCCCGTTTTTTCTTACCTGGCCCCGCCTCAACTCCACCCCTTCCCCAAATCCCCACCCCTGCCTCTTCCCCCCCCCCAGGCTCTCAAGCCTAGGAGGGAGGGAGGGAAGGTGAGAGAGAAGCAGCGCGCGCGCCGCAGCCACTCGGGATCTCCCCCTCCCTCCCAGGTTTGAGAGCCTGGGAGGGAGGGCGAGCAGTGGTGCGCGAGCGGCAGCAGTGGAGGTGAGCTAGGGCGGCTGGGGCACATTTTTAGGGGAGGCATGGCCGGCGCCAGAATGCCGCCCCTAGAAATGTGCCGCCCCAAGCACCAGCTTGTTTTGCTGGTGCCTAGAGCCGGCCCTGGATGAAGGCAAAGTAATAACCAAGACCACGCTCCAATCGCAGTTGACAACTCTGATACCTCCTCTAGAGCTATGGCTACTGCTGCTGTTATGTGCAGGGAATCATGGCTCCATGCATCAGGGTTCCCTAGTGAGGCCCAGAATACCGTTGAGGTCCTTCCCTTTGGTGAATTGCAGCTCTTCAACCAAAAGATGGACGAGTCCCTCCATACCCACAAATTGACACTACTTCCAAATTTTCCAGCTCTAGGTGTATAGTGCACATGCATGCAACCCACAGAGGAATACAAATGGGGA